TAGGGGGTGTGTGGGGTGATAGGGAGCTGTAGGAGGCTGTAGAGAATGTATGAGGGCGGCTATAGGGGGTGTATTAGAGGCTATGGGGGTTGCATGCAGGGGTATAGGGGGCTATAGGGGGTATGTGGGGTGATAGGGAGCTGTAGGAGGCTGTAGAGAATGTATGAGGGTGGCTATAGGGGGTGTATTAGAGGCTACGGGGGTTGCATGGAGGGGTATAGAGGGCTCTAGGGGGGGTATGGGGTGATGGGGAGCTGTAGAGAGCTACAAAGGGTGTATGAGGGGCTATAGGGGGTTAGATAGGACTAAGGGGGTGTACAGGTGGCTATAGCGGGCCATAGAGGGTGTATGGAGGTCTATGGTGTCTTTAAGGCTTGTTTGGGGGCCAGGTAGGGGGTGTATGGGGGTCTAGAGGAGCCCACAGAGGTGTACAGAGGCTGTAGAGGGGGTTCAGGGGGGTCTATAGGGCTGTATGGGGATGCACAGGGCTGTATGGGAGTCTATAGAGGCATATGGGGGTATATGGGAAGTGTAGTGGTCTGTGAGGGTGTGTAAATGAATGTAAGGGGTGCATGGAGAGGTATATAGGAGTCTATAGGGAAATACCGGAATGTAAAGGGGTTTATAGGGGTGTATGGGGGTTTATGGCAGTGTACGGGATATATAAGGGGTTATGGCAGTGCATAGGGATGTATAGGGGCATATAGGGGTATATAGGGACATATATGGGTATATAGGAGCATATAGGGACATATATGGGTATATAGGAGCATATAGGGGATCTTTAGGGGGTGTATAGGGATGGAAAGGCATAGAGGTTCACTGCACATTGACCTCCTACCTACCCCCCCAACAACCCCCGTAGCCCCCCCCATAGCTCCCCTTCCCCTATAGCCCTTATAGCTTCCTGTCGTGCGTCGTGTCCCTCCCCCCCATACACGTATGTCACGCAACAGGTTTTTCCCATGTTGCACAATCAGGAGTGGACTCGTGCAGGAGCACCCGGATGCCTGGGTCCCATTTCGGGGGGGGGTGTTGTCTATTGGGTGGG